CAACCCTAAGAAGTAAGCTTTCTACTACTTTTTCCACTATCTGGGATTTAGAGGAAGTTCTCCTTGATTTTCTTTAATATATATATATATATTTTATTTTCAATGGAACTTAGAAGTCTATCTTAGGTACTTTTATGACCCCCATTACTGTAGTATCTGAGTAACTAACAATCTTTAAAGAATTTATCTTCACAACACCCCTGTGCGCTACAGAAATGCTATTAGACCCCTTGCACAGATAGAGAACTGATGCATAAAGAGGCAAAGTAATTTGTCCAAGGTCACACAAGAAATCTGCGGCAGAGGAGGAACTTCTCCCTAAACACTGGCCCATCCTTCCTACTAGCATCCTGGGAAAGCAGGCAAGCTACTGTAAAATTTCAGCTCTCAAAAACAAAACAGAAACCCACACCAAAAACAGGTAAACTTAGGAATTAGAGCACAAATAAAGAAACCCCAAATCATGAGATGACACAAGAAGCAATTATAACATCAGACATAATATACTCTTCATGTGCAATCAGCAAATGAACATGTACAGATGCATTTAAAATATTCATAATGTCTGCTGCAACGACCTATTTGACAAAAGCTCTAATTTAAACTCTTTCAAATTTGCAGACAGCTTACTTTATGCCCTAGTTTTTTACGATGCGGTACTTAATTACCATCAGGAGAGCTCTCCTAAACCTGAGTTTTGGAATATATATGTAGCTGTTGAATTGCTTGTATTTTGCTTGCTAACAAGGAGCAAAGATGGAAGTTACATCATTGCTAATTAAACTCATAATTACATATGGCTGGCTTAGTCAGACAGCAGATCACATGGCTGTCAGAAAACACAAACAAAGCATAATCAAAGCATAATCTATCATGTAAAAGTTTAGATCATTTTTTGTGGATTGTCTCATTGGAGAGCTCCATACTTTACACACAGTTCTGAAGTTGGCAATTGGAAAAGCAAAGTAGAATTTCTTGGGCCTAGCAAGAAAGAACACTTGGGATTTACCTGGGATGGCCTAGTGATCATTTGATTTTAATTGCAAGGTTCCTGTAAGATTTTTGCCCTTAAGGGACTGATATAGCCCCTCAGACTTCCTTAAGGTGTTTGTCTGAAAATTTCTCTAGATTTTCAAAAATGTTTAAAAATTACTCAATCAGTCCTGGTAGAACTTGGATCATTGCCTTCTCATCCCCAGCAGCAGCTCCTCACCAAGTGCCACAAATCTGGTCCCTTGGGGACACTATATTCATCTGCTCTTCTGTCCCAACCTGGGTAATGTCTGGACCTTGAGGGCCTTATTTTCAGATGCCCCAAGCACTCACTACTCCCAATTATCTCAACTGGAGATGTGAGTGCTCAGCACTTCCCAAAATCAGACTCTAGGACCTCATTGTCTTGTTGTTTTCTGCAGCATCCCCATGGTCACTGAGATCTTAAGTGTACATAATCATCAGTGCTCCTCAAGACATCCACCTTGCTTAGCATTGTAGATCTGGGAACAGCAGGGTATCAGAGTTAGGAGGAAGTTGAAAAGTGTGAAGCCAAGACAGGAAAAGGGGATGTGGCGAGGGCCTTTAAAAAGTGGGGCTACAGATGGTTACAGAAGCATAAAGTGTAGTTCACCAGGAACTGGAGGATGGACAGGATGGGGAGGATGGACAGGATGGCCCAGACCTTCTCTGTGCTATCTACACTGTGTTTGAGCTCCTAAAACATAGCCAACCATCAGTGCAGTTCTGGTGCTCCAACATCCAGAATGCTGGAAAACTCCTGCAATGTGTGGGAACTCCTGAGAACCTTAGGAAGTCCACAAGAGGGGAGTCATGTGCTTTCGGAGAAGATGCCTCTCCTAACGGATTCATAGATTTGGTCAGGGCACAGCCCCTTTTCTTCTGGGGCTAACAAAGTCTTTGAGCAACCTTCTCTAGCCTCCTCTCGGATACTGCACTATCTGGTGTGTTGGGACTGCTTTCTTCCCCCTGTACTGATGCTCCTAATCTGGCTAATTTCCCTTTCTGTGAACATAATATTTGAATAGGTAGGGATTTTTCCTTGCCAAGGCATGAATTTAGGACTCTGTGTGTGTCGCCTTAATGACATACCAGCGTTGAATTCCCAAGGTCATATCTGCTTTTTTTAATAGGATATTTTGACACACCATTCCCTGTCCCAAGAGTTAGAAGCTTCCATTGTCTGTTATCCTTCATTCAGTTTTGGAGTAAAATGGGAGGGAAGACTCACTTGACCAATGTCTGTGAAATAAGTCTATGGATAATCAGAAAGGGCAAAACTCCAAACAACAAGAAAGTTGAAGACCCAACATTAATTACTCTTGCCAGCATCAGGGCATGCCACAGAGTTCTGAGAGTGACCTGCTCTATTAGAGATGCACTGCATGAGGGAAACCAAGTGTTATTGTTCCCTCATCTTAGCCTCACTATTCAGGCCAGATGGAAGGAACTGGCCATTTAAAGGTGCTCCTTTTTAGATGAAGGAGTTAAGGTCTGAAACATATTTGTAGCAACAGTCAAAACAAGGGTTTTTTAGCAGCTAGCACTGCAAGTTCAACACAGCTTTGTTATCAGATACCAGGTTGATTTCTGCCTTGTATATCATCACTGACCATAAGGAATCTGTTATTGGGACCTGGCAGTTGCCATTTTGTTGACAGTTGGCCACAATTACATTTCACGGGCCATCACTGGAAATGCACTCTGTGTCATAACTCAAGGTAAAAGGCTGATTGCTTTCTGAGGTCACAAGACAAAGTCAAATGGGTCCTGTAACTGAACTATCATTTTAGAGATTTAGGTAGAGATTTTCCAAGACACTTAGTGGATTTGGATGGCCAATTCTGATTAATTTCAATAGGAATTAGGTGTCCAAATCCCATGAGAGGTTTTGAATACTTCAGCCTTAGTGACCTACTGACAACGCAGAAAATCTGCTGTTGATTTTACCTCTCCACTGAAATTTTTTTTACTGCATCTATTGTGCTCTTGTCTTCCACTGAAATCAGAGGAGATTTAGGAAGCACCTGACAGATTGCACAACGAACTCCTTCTACTACAAGAAACTGTAACATTCAGAAGTAGGTCATTTTTCAAGCTCTACAGCTCATTGTTCCTGACTTGAGTTTAACACTGATTTGCGCATTGTGCTTCCACCTCAAACCCATATTACAATTTGTTACCGAAGTCAGGACTGAGCATTGTGGCAATTTGCAGCACTCATTGTCTACCATGGACAAAATCTTCTTATACCTGCTGTGCGCATGAAGCATTTCCTAACGGAGCATTCTCTGTTTGCAACATCACACCCAGACCACTATTATAGGATGTATATATAAAATGACAAGTTATGGTATACAGGTTTTATTAACGTGAGTTTGGGATGACAATATTACTCATGAGAGATTAAGTCAACTGGACTTAATCAACTGGACATTTAGTTGCTGGACTACAGAGAGGGAAAAGGGGATATTACTGCAACTGGTTGTGGGAGTTCTCCTTTAGCTTATGGAGTAGAGGTCTCTATGTTAGGACAAGGATTCTAGTCCTACCTCCCCCGTATGTATATTTGGGAGATATATAGTAACTGTGTCTATTTGTAGCACAAGAATTCATTACATCAGCACCTTCCACGGTTAGAAGAAGATCCTGTGTCCCTTCATAACACTGGGAATCTTCCATTTCCAGTGGAATAAAGCTCTCATTTCACTTATGGGCCACAGGATATCAGACCATAAATCTGTCACTGGGGAAAGACTGATGACAAACTGCCTGCCTTGCACTTCATTCAAGTGTATAAGGTAGTGGCCGTAGTAAGGATGTTTTATTAAATGTGCATTTCTCTGCATATATGTTGGCAATATCATTGTGACAAATTACAGAGCCTTGTAATAGACTGCATTTATTCTGCACCTTTATCCTCCTTACCTTGCACTCATTCACATCTGATAAGAGTATTTCCAAGCCTCTGGGCAGCTTTTGGACAACTGCCATTTAAAAAAAACCAACTTGCCAGGGAAATGCTTCCTTTTTTCCTCCTAAATATGGATAAACTTCCCAAAATTACACTGGCAAGAAGTGCAGGGCTCTTAGGGAGTTAGTCCATATTTGAGAAGAAAGAAGGAGACATTTCCCTGGCAAGCTGATTTTTTTTTTTTTTTGAATGGCAGAAATTCTGCCCAGAATTCCCAAAATTGCCCAGAGGCTTGGAAATACTCTCATCAGATGTGAATGAGTGCAAGGTAAGGAGGACAAAGATAAAGAATAAATGCAGTTTATTACAAGGCTCTGCAATTTATCACAATGATACCGCCAACATATATATATGGAGAAATATATATATTTAATAAAACAACTTCCTTACTACATCTACTACCTTAGAGTCTGATTCTGCCATCCTTTCTCCCTTCCTAGGAGTACCTTGCTCTTCAAATAGTCATAATAAATCTGGTCTTTTGATTTTAAGAGTGTGCCTATCATTTGGTACATGGAATTTTGTGTGCATAATCATTTTCATGCAGTACTATATAAAACTGCAGATGACAACATACACAAAATTGCACATGCAAAACTAGAGGCCATATGTTGCACGATGTCTTAGAGATATAAATTCTATACCATTCTTTCAGATTTCCTCTTTTACAACCAGAAATATTAAGACTCACAAATGTAGGTAACCTAAATAGTGACGAAGAAAACCTGCATAAGAAAATGAGTTCTCTCAGTTAGGGAGATTTGTATTTTCCTTTCAAATCAGCAAAAGTTTTCTCTTAAAGTCTAAGTGCCATGATCTTCCTTATACAAATGTGAAAACTGTTTGGCATTTGTAGGAAAAAGAGGGAAATAGGGAAGGGAGAAATGCAGACACTGAAAATAAGGAGAAAATTCCCTCCAATATTCTCCTTCTCTCAAGAATGAACATTCAAAGGGATGATGCATATCTATGAAATTGAGGTTTCCAGCTCTGTGTAAAGAAAGGCACTTACCTTATAGGATTATCCATCCTTGATACTGTGAGAAATGCTGCTAAATTAGCTGTGTAGGATGAACACACAATAAGGGTAAAGAGCCACCAACTTCCCATCACAATGCGCATAGCCACAGAATTGATAGCAGATTCACCACCTACAAATAAGGAGAGAAATTGAGGTCTCACAGAAACCTGCATTTAAGATCACCTACAGTACATGTTCCATGTCTAAAGTGACACTGTGAACAATCCCTATGAATTTTACTTGATGTTCAACTTGCATTAACAGATCACCCCATCAATATGTTCAAAGACCTATCTTAAGTAGGTCTGATATTTTATAAAAACATACTATCTAACTGCTAAGTCATCCAGAAAGTTGTAGAATACTCTGGTGTACTGGTGAGGTTGATCTGCAACAAAAAAAAAATACTAAACTGTGTTAAAATCACTGGTTTGAATTAAATCTTGTAAAATTTCTACATCAACCCTCTGATCCCACTTGCCTCTCACATAGTCATAGAATAATGCTCTCAAGAAAATCCACACAGGGCCTTACCCAGAATTGTCAGGATCTAATCCACAGAATGACTTCCATAAATACAGGCAAATTAATAATAAATAATAATAATAATAATAATTAATAATGCAATATCACTATCTAAACATAGAGGTTAAATATTCAGAGTATATCAGAGTAGATCTATATTGTCTGTGAGGGGGTAATATAACTTTTAAACTGAGTACAACTGTTCAAACTTCTGTATGCTACTTATGCTGAATTAAATAATATGAGATTGTGGCATCAGCTACACCACACTGCACTATAAGGTGGGTAGAAAGTTGGCTAGATTGTCGGGCTCAACGGGTAGTGATCAATGGCTCCATGTCTAGTTGGCAGCCGGTGTCAAGTGGAGTGCCCCAGGGGTCGGTCCTGGGGCCGGTTTTGTTCAATATCTTCATAAATGATCTGGAGGATGGTGTGGATTGCACTCTCAGCAAATTTGCGGATGATACTAAACTGGGAGGAGTGGTAGATACGCTGGAGGGGAGGGATAGGATACAGAAGGACCTAGACAAATTGGAGGATTGGGCCAAAAGAAATCTGATGAGGTTCAATAAGGATAAGTGCAGGGTCCTGCACTTAGGACGGAAGAACCCAATGCACAGCTACAGACTAGGGACCGAATGGCTAGGCAGCAGTTCTGCGGAAAAGGACCTAGGGGTGACAGTGGACGAGAAGCTGGATATGAGTCAGCAGTGTGCCCTTGTTGCCAAGAAGGCCAATGGCATTTTGGGATGTATAAGTAGGGGCATAGCGAGCAGATCAAGGGACGTGATCCTCCCCCTCTATTCGACATTGGTGAGGCCTCATCTGGAGTACTGTGTCCAGTTTTGGGCCCCACACTACAAGAAGGATGTGGATAAATTGGAAAGAGTCCAGAGAAGGGCAACAAAAATGATTAGGGGTCTGGAACACATGACTTATGAGGAGAGGCCGAGGGAACTGGGATTGTTTAGTCTGCGGAAGAGAAGAATGAGGGGGGATTTGATAGCTGCTTTCAACTACCTGAGAGGTGGTTCTAGAGAGGATGGTTCTAGACTATTCTCAGTGGTGGAAGAGGACAGGACAAGGAGTAATGGTCTCAAGTTGCAGTGGGGGAGGTTTAGGCTGGATATTAGGAAAAACTTTTTCACTAGGAGGGTGGTGAAACACTGGAATGCGTTGCCTAGGGAGGTGGTGGAATCTCCTTCCTTAGAAGTTTTTAAGGTCAGGCTTGACAAAGCCCTGGCTGGGATGATTTAATTGGGGATGGGTCCTGCTTTTGAGCAGGGGGTTGGACTAGATGACCTCCTGAGGTCCCTTCCAACCCTGATATTCTATGATTCTATGATTCTACAGTAGATTTCTCTGTGACGTTTCCAGCACAATTATGCTTGACCTTTAGTTAAAGACAAAACTCTGTTAAACAACTGATTTTTGCTAGTCCCTCTGGTGTCTGCTTATGCTAAGAAACATAAGAAAGGCCACACTGGATCAGATCAATGGTCCACCTAGACCAGTGGTTTTCAAACATTTTTTCTGTCAACCCAGTTGAAGAAAATTGTTGATGCCCATGACACAACAGAGCTGGGAATGAGGGGTTTGGGACATGGGAAGGGCTCAGGGCTGGGGCAGAGGATTGGGGTGAGGACTGTGTGGTGGGAACAGGGATGAAGGCTTTGGGGTGCAAGAGGGGGCTCTGGATTTGGGGAGGCTCAGGGCTGGGGCAGGGGATTGGGGTGTGGGAGGGAGTCAGGGCTCTGGGCTGGGGGTGCAGGCTCTGGGGTGGAGCTAAGATTGAGGGGTTTGGGGTGCAGGAAGGGACTCTGGGTTTGGGGGGGCTCAGAGCTGGGGCAGGGGATTGGCATGCAGGGTTGGGGCACGGGCTTACCTCAGGCAGCTCCCAATCAGGGGCATAGCAGGGGGACTAAGGCAGGCTTCCTGCTGTCCTGGCACCGAGGACCATGCTGTGCCCCAGAAGCTGCCAGCAGCAGGTCTGGCTCCTAGGCGGAGTCACACAAGCGGCTCCGTGCAGCTTTCACCCGCTGGCACCGCCCCCCCCAGCTCCCATTGGACAGGAACCAGCCAATGGGAGTGCAGAGCTGGTGCTTGGGGTGGGGGAAGCATGCGGAGCCCCGTGGTCCCCCCGCCTAGGAGATACCTGCTGCTGGCTGCTTCCAGGGCGTAGTGCGGTATCAGAACAGGTAGGGACTAGGCTGCCTTACCTGGGCAGCACCACCGACAGGACTTTTAACGGCCCAGTCGGATGTGCTCACAAGAGCCGCCATGACCAAGTGCCTTATATTCCGAGTACCAGTAATGGGTCGTGACCTACAGTTTGAAAACCACTGATCTAGAACAGCATCATGACTTCCAACAGTGCCAGATGCTTCAGAGGGAATAATGAGAACAGGGAAATTATTGAGTAATCCATCCCCTATAGTCCAGCTTCCAGCAATCAGAAGTTTAGGGACACTCAGAGCATGGCGTGGCATCCCTGGACATCTTGGCTAATAGCCACTGATGTACCTATTCTCAATTCGTTTTGGAACCCAGTGATACTTTTCGCGTTCACTACATCCACTGGCAATGAGTTCCATAGGTTGACTGTGCATTGTGTGAAGAAGTACTTCCTTACATCGGTGCCGGCCTACTCCTTCGTACTGAGATTGAAAAGTACTGACTGTAAGATATTAAATGTTGACAGTACCTTGCTGAACAAAGGCCCCATACACAATCCAAATGGCACTGTGAAGCGTGGAGGAAGCAGAGGGACTGGGATGTGAAGAATTCTGTGCTCTGACTGCCTGGATACGGTTTAAAACAAATATCAAGACACCAACTACAGGGATGGCAGCTGCAATGCAGGCCCAAACCGCAAAATCAAAGGGAGCAAAGAGAGAGAAGATGCTGATTTTCTCTTCAGGCTTCTTGATTAGAATCCCCACTGAATAATCCATGTACCGCTTGCTGAAGTCCACAACACTTTCCCGTTCCGGTGTTATAGTGATAGCCGAGATTGCCATATCTGCTCTCTGCAAGAGAAATGCAACAAGTCATATTTCTTCCTGCCCCTAGCAAGCACATTGTTTAGATTGGGCAGATTTGGACTATAAAAGGAGAAGCTCCAAAGCAGCCAATGGTTTACGTATTTCGTTGATTTCTTTCTCTCATCTAATTTTAAATTGAAGTCTAGTTCAATGCGTAAAAAGCAGTAGAATCATTTCAATTTATTGAGAGAAATTAATAAAATAAAAATATGTACTAGTTGAAAGTGGAGTACTGAAATGTACCCTGTGAAATTACTGTATAACAAAGAGCATCTAATTGTCTTACAGGTGGGAATTTACTTAACCTTTCTGTCTCACTTTCCTCATCTACAGAATGGAGGCTAATAATCCTAGCCCTTATCTAACTGGGGCATTGTGAAGATTAATGAAAGAGTCATCATCAATATAAAAATCACACTCTGCATAAACACTTCTTTTTATCTACTTTTGTTACAAATAACTTCTGCAATTACTCTAACTGAAAGATATTAGAAATCCTACTGTATTTCCCCCCACTTTGTTTATTTTGTGTACTTTGTGTATAGTTAGATTTCACTGTTTTCTCTGTACAGTGCATCAGTTTTCCATACTCACATAAGATTTTCATGCAACAGCCAGGGAGACTGTTTTGTTTGGTCGGTTGGTTTTAAAAAAAAAAAAAAAAGGATTAGGACAATGTGATTGGACAGCCATAAACATTGGAAGAAGGTTTCAGGGACAGTTTACCTCCTGAAACTATTTTAAACTCATTGTTTAAGTGAATAGATTTCATGGTAACAGTCATGCTGGCAACCTTTGTGGAAGATAAACATTTTGTTTGAATGTTAATTTGAAAAAAAGTTTTTAAAACATATTTTCTGTTTCCTAACTTCCCTTTTGGGAAAGAACTCAGGGAGGAGAGGCTGATATAAAGCTTATTGAAGTCAATGGAAAGACTAGTAACAGAAATACCATAAGTACTCAATAGCTCACAAGAAAGCCTGATCTCATGGGACCTCTAACCAGATTTCCAAATTAATTAAATTCAGAAAAGCTGGGATAAATTTAGAATAAATATGAAAATATCTAATGCTTACCTAACGCACAATGTAATGAATATTGATTATAGATATGTATTTATTACATCTGTTCACTGAACTTGTGTTTTGCTTCAATTTTCATCTCAACCTCCTCTTTCTAGTAATACTAAGTAACGATAAACCTTTTACTTTCCGTTAAAACATATACTGCAGCAGAGCAACCTCCTGTGCAAAGGACAACACCATTGGATATTAATTCCTCTAAATGTCCTTGCACTACATTGATTTTGATTGTTCCATGTTAGAAACTACTACGTGCATCTCTAAGAAAACATATTTCATTTCCTCTAGGGATTCTTGACTATAATCAGTTCTCGGTTATTTCAGTGGTGTTCAATTGTACTCTTCCTGATTTACACAAGTGTAACTAAAAAAAGAATCTGGCCCTCCAAGTGTTATCTGACTGGATCATCTTGAGACCAGCTTTCCATTCTTCTTCTTCAAAATGTTCCTGTACAATACATCCATTGAAATCAAATAGTTGATTATTATAAAACCATATTGCTACAAAGTAGCTGTCCCAAAGGAAGTTTAACAGAGTTAGAAATGAAGTTGTAGTAGCTTTGAATTAGTGGCAAAGATATAACAGAAAGTCCTCGAATGAGAATGGAAGTGGAATACATATTTTGGTATCTATTTTCCATATGGTAAATTTGCATAGTCTATAGTTACATGAGCATAGCTTACATTGTCATTAGGAGTTACCTTTGCTGTCACTGACAGAATAATATACTCTAGAGTCTTTGTTTTGTGGAGATGGGCCAAAAGCACAAAAGTTTAGATCAGGATCCAAACTTCAGGAATGTTTAGAATTGGGGTTTTGATTCTGACTCATCCCTTGTATTTTACTGGGGAGGATTTCACTATACCCTTAAAAAAAAGTTAGCTGTACTCTGCCTGAAGATCTCTTCTTCTGCTCTCTGTACCTTGTTAATAAGTTCTCCAATCATGCCGTTCCAAGAGCTGTTATGGAGCTGGTGTCCATACTTGCCATCAGGAGATTGATAAATCTCATACTTGAAGCCCAGATTCTTGGCAAGTGCATCCAGGACATCAATGGAAAATCCTTTATAGCGCTTCGGTTGCCCAAGTATGTTCTCTGCCACCATCACAAAAGGCTCTTCCTGAGAAAAAAATAACATCTAAGCTAACATTTAAAGAAGTATTTTTAAATACCTAAAAAAATGGATCTAACTCTCATCAACCCAGTGCTATTGTTGGCTTTTAGAATACTGAGATTGTCCAGGCCAGAGTAATGTAGTTTTAGATATATTTCTTTCATAAGGTAACAAACGTATCATCTACACAGGACACACACTGAAATAATAACTAGAAAACCCTTTGATTATTTTTCTATTATTTAGCATTATGAACAATCCAAGAATAGTTCTTACAGGGGTTGGCCCCTGAAGTGCTTTTAGAGTTAACAAAATGCATTTTGGAAATCGTGCAATAGGGAATCCTGCAGGGCGATGGTGTTTCAGTCTGACACAGGCTGTGTGCTCACTTGCCAAGGGAATGCCAGCTCTACTGATTTTACAGCCATTGCTGTTGGCCATGTCTGCAAACTGGTGCTGACATCCACAAAGAGGGGAGATATGATCACTGCCTTTACCCGCTAGAGGGAAGAAAGATAAAAACAGATGGAAAGAAAACTGTCCTAATGATCTCCTACAGTTCTCCAAATCTCTCTAATGCACTTTGATCTAGAAGAAGAGAGAAAATACACATAGAAAAATAAGTAACTTAAGAAGTGTGCATTATTTACATAGCCAACTATAGTATCTTTCAACCAGAGGATGACATTATTATAATGAAGAATTGGCGTGGGCATATAGTTTTGGTAAAGAAGAAAAACAACATAATGAGGTCACCATGTTCAGCATATTAAGCAGTTATAAAGTAACTGCTCCCTTAAAAAGTATATCTTGGTGGCTTAGCCAAGCAGAAAATTAATGAACTACCCTTTTATCTCTGGAAACAAGTTCAAATCCTAATTTATTCCCAATGTAGCTTTAGCTAACTTGAGCTCTAGTACCTTCTAAGTTACTAGTGGGAAGTGGCCCTATACCATCTCATAACATGACAAGATTAGAAGACTTCTCCAAGAAAGCCCAGGAGTCTTTCTAAAAGATATACTTTAGCTCAACAAGCAATTATGGACTTAATGAAAGAATCGCTTGATGAAATTCTATGGCGTGCATTATGCAGGAGGTGAGAACAGATGATCACAATGCTCCTGACTGGTCTTAAAAATCTATTAATCTATGGGATCAGTACAGGAAAATGTTACAGGTCAGAGTAAGGAGCACTGTGGCTGAAATTCACCCCTGTGCAGAGGACTAGTACAAGTCCTGGGCACCATTTGAGCAATGCACAGGCGTTGTATTGGTCATCTGAACGGAGGTGAATTTCAGCCTGGGTGACTGTTTGAGACTAGCACACAGTCTCAGTATGCAGTTCTCTAAACCCCTGATTTTAATGAGCATCAACAAAGTCACACAAAACCATAAAAGTCCTCCATCTCTCTTCTCTTGCTTATGCAGCTGGTCAGCCCAAGTAGATGATAAAGGATTAAAAGACTTAATGAAAAATTATGGGGGCAGGGGTAACAACCAAATGTCCTATCACATCATTTTTCTTTTGAGTATTTTGTCTCCTGAACTCAAATAGGATCATACCAAGACAGTCACCACTTTCAGTGTCAGTCCTTGCAAATCACTGCCCAGACGCCGTTCTTGTAGGCTGCCATTCAGTCCCTTTTCAGAGTCCCATGTTGCCAACTACAAATGGAAATAATACAGTGAGTATGAAGGCAATATTAGGCACGCACATTTTTAACATTTTCCTAAAATGCTCTAACAGCACTTTGACTGAATGGTTATACTCAAAAACAGCAGAGAGTAAAAGGGGTAGGGGGGAGAGAGAATGAGGCATTTTTGCTCCCCATTAGTGTCTGGATTATGATGAGTGAAATTTAAGGGGATAAAAATGCCCAAGTACTTTGGCTGAATGTGTTTTCTTCGATACATCTCACAATAACTATGCTTTGTTATCTACAGTACTTGTCATATCATTTAACCAAAGTCACTTTGATAAGACTTTTCTTTTTGGCAAGTTTCTATTGCCTCATCACCATCAAGATTACCTGTGGTCTCACCACCGCTCCCTCTCTGTTCTCATTCTCTGCCTATATTTCAACCCATTCCCCACCGCTCATCAAATGCCAGTTCCTTTCTCTGGTGCACAACCCTGTATCTGACCAATAAGTATCTCACTTCTCACTAATAAAACAATCACATCCATTTCTCTCAAATGCCATGGTTGCTGAAGATCAAACATCTCCTAAGCTTTAAAATAAGCTATAAACCTTGTGTATGCACCCTGCTTAACCCCAGCCCTGCAATATTTATTGATGCAATGTTTGTCAGTATATCTAAATGCATTAGTTTTCAATTAAATATGATACAGCACATCAAACTAAATTGTACTGCATTTTCTGACAAGAAGTCTAATATGGTAGTCAGCCTCAAAAGACCTATTGGATTTTTTCACAGTGAATACTCTCTCCTTAGTCAGTAGCAGGCTGCTCCTTTTACCTTAGAATGGAATCCATTAAATTGTTTTGTTCTTGGACGGAAATAAGTGATATTGAGGTCAAATCTCTTGTGTTTGTCATCAGCCCTGCACTTAGAGATATGTAGGCCGGTATATATGCTGCTAGCTGTAGGCATACCCCTCAGAAATTAAACATAGGCCATAGAACTCTAAAATGTGGCTTCTTCCAGTTGGGTATCCTTAATGTAAAGAGTCAAAGCTTTTCTGAGCGGGAATGTATTTTTCTGATAATGTCTCTGGTTAAGAGTTCTACTAGACTTACTTCTGTTACTTTAATTTTACCATTCACCCCCAAAAGTTGGACAAGCACACAACAAATAATTGGGGACCACATAACAAATCCTCAGCCAGGGCTTTGTATATAGTGAGTGCAAAAAAAAATAATCTCACAGATCCATCTTAGTTTGATGATTGGTTGGTCATATGAATGAAATGGACACTAGAGTTATTGTAGGTGTCACAACAAGATTCACGTACCTATGAAAACTGGGTACAGTATAGGAAAGTCAGGAATTAGGCTACATCTCTCTTAACACATCTGTGATTGCTAAGAGGTGGGAGGTATAGGTGGTGTCAAAAGCTACAATGACCCAAACTTGAATACTCTCCCACTGATATGTCATTTTGGAAATATCACCCACTCGGTGCAGTAGTAATTCCACTAGGATGGTCTCCTATGAACACCTACAGCTATGGCTAGTGGAATTTAACAGGAACATTTAATTTTAAATTTAATGTCATATATTTGCTCTCAAAATAAATCTAAATAAGGATTTTTCCTATTTGTTTTGTTGTTGTTGTTGTTGTTGTTGTTATTTAACAAAGCCAGCCAGATCCCCAACAAATATAAATCAGCATAACTTAATTGACTGAAAAGGAGCAAGTCCAATTTGCACCAGTTGAGAATCTGGATATTTATTCAAAACTAGGAAGCAAAACACAACCTTGTATTACTCACCATCTCGTCTTTCAATGTCTTAGCAAACAATTCCTTCTCCCACCCTTTTTCTCTTCCCCACCTTTAAAAATAGCCTTTATCTGAAGACTAAGATATGAATCATTTGAATATCATCTAAATACATTCCTCACCAAGGCTGGGAGCTCTCAGAGAGGAGCTGAAAAATATGCCAGCATAAATAAGGATTTATTTCTTTTGCTTGAGTTTAAAAGGGAAAAGGGGAGAAACTGTCTTCTCATATATTAAATAGGATGAGGTTCAGGGAGGAGGGGAATATGCCTAAGATATTTTTATGGTTTCTCCCTATTTCATTTCAGCCTCAACTGCACACTGTTTTGTATGCAGAGGTAAACTTTGCAGTCTATAAAAAGTAAATGATGCAGATAAGGTTGATAAATGGAACATAAGGAAAAGGAATTTACCAAAAGGGATTCTTCCTCTGAATCCTTGAGCTTCAGACCATTTCATTTGTTCATAAGTGTGTCAATTTTGACTTCCACTTGTTCTTGTAGACAGAATTTTGTTTATAGGATCAATGAATTTACGCTTATATACACCAGTTCTTGACAGCTGACCTGTCAAGATCAGTCCCTGAAAAACTAATTTCCAGCACTGTTAAACAAAATGAGTGCTGCTGCTATTTGATAAGACAGTTACAGTTTTCATTCTTTGTAGAAATGTGCTGTACTTCTACCAGGAATCTGAAGCCAGAGGTTACAACACAATCATCAATTGATAGGAGATATATGGCTTCTAAATCTGATTATGACAAACAACTGCTCAGAGGATCAGCCACTCATAGAATAAATTTCATAAACCACTGGTCTCTGGAAAATATATTTGCTGAAGCAATCCAGGGTATTCTTGATTCTCAAGTTATTGAATTTCAGGGTTTGGGTTTCCTGGTTGTGTCTTTAATAAAGCTTTTGGCTTAAAGCCTTCTATATAGGCTTTCTGTCTGATTAAGGCTTGTATTGGGCATAGCCATATTACAGACAAATCCTACATTCCCTTCATAAAACAGGTGGTCAATCATCACTGAAACCTAAACTGGAGAACCAGCTACAAAATCCTGATGAAATTATCATTTATCTGGAAATTCTGGCACAAGGCATGGTGCTGATATTTCTCAGATAGTAGTTGTGTTTAGCTGAGAAAATCTTGGCAAGAAACTAACAAGCGTAATTGTATTTTACAGCACATACATGCAGAACATGGTCATGCACATACAGCATATACAACAATGAAACACTATTACTAGTTGGTTAATGAACTGTTAATGATACATTGTAAAGGGTTTGATCCTATAAGCTGCTAAAAGGCCCTGCGATGCGCTGAGCGCCTTCTACTGCTCCTGACTGGGAGATCAAATTGCTCAGGACCTCACAGGAGGCACTGACATGTTGTGTGCTTGGACTCCATGTGCTTCCATCAATAAATAAGGAGCCAGATCCTGCTAGTTGCCAATGGGAGATACACACACACAAAAGATGGGCCAGACGGGACCCTATGTTAATATAAAAAGAAAAGGAGTACTTGTGGCCCCTTAGAGACAAACAAATTTATTAGAGCATAAGCTTTTGTGAGCTTCAGCTCACTTCATCGGATGCATACAGTGGAAAATATAGTGGGGAGATTTTATATACACAGAGAACATGAAACAATGGGTGTTACCATACAGACTGTAACAAGAGTGATCAGGAAAGGTGAGCTCACCTTACCTGATCACTCTCGTTACAGTTTGTATGGTAACACCCACTGTTTCATGTTCTCTGTGTATATAAAATCTCCCCACTATATTTTCCTATGTGTGCATTCGACGAAGTGAGCTGTAACTCACAAAAGCTTATGCTCTAATAAATTTGTTAGTCTCTAAAGTGCCACAAGTACTCCTTTTCTTTTTATGGATACAGACTAACACGGCTGCTACTCTGAAACCTATGTTAATATAGTTCCTGATCTCTCATAGCCTTACTCATGTAATTGGTCCCATTCAAGTTAGTAGGTCTAATTGTGCTTTCACATCAGAGGAGATCTGAAATAACACCACTGAAGTCAATGGAGTTACGTTGATGTAAAATTGTTGAGTAAGAACAGAATCTCAGCCTATGAGACTGCTCATAATAATAATGTTAAGTCATGTAAGTAATGTTTGCATGGATTGTACATAGGTTATAAGTAAATTATGTCTTATATGATAGACAGCATATAGTAGCAACGACATATATTATCCATAACTAGCAATATGCTTTTATAACCATTTGCTTATGCATCAACTGCCATTGCAAATGCATTTTCTTTAAGAGCAGTACTTTGATATAAATTGTACAGCTATGTTCAGTAAGCCATTTATAATTAAATCCACAGCCATTTCAGTGAAAAAATGCAGACATACTACTGACAATTAGACAGTAAACATTTAATAAACCTCATGTAATCAAGTGCATGTAGAAATAAATGTCTATAATAATCAGTTACATTTCAATGTACTAGATACTTAAATTAACAGATATAAGTGGAAAAATATGTATTTTATCTTTTCTACTAAAAGATGAAAATTGTCCCTTTCACCTATCAAGCAAATATAGCTGAAAAATTAAAAGTGACATAAAAAGTGAATATTTATATTTATACCAAATCAGTAACTAAGCCCACCCACATCTGTATTATTTAAGTTTAGGCTACAGTAGTTACTGTCAAAATAATCTGTGCCACTATCATCTTACTCTCCTATTAGATATGACATCACCTAACACGATCTACTTTTCAAAGAAAATGCGGACCCTTAGCAAATAAAACATTATCATTTTTAGCAGAAGCACATTAATTGCTTGAAGGGGCCTGCATTAACCAAAAATATAGATCTTCAATCCCGCCAAGAAATAGCAAAACCTTGCTTGGGAACTTCTTTGTAGCATAAAGACCTTTTTGGACTTTTAGCACTAGGAAGAAAGCAAAAGAGAGGAATGTGTGTCAGGCAGTCATTTCTCAGAGCATGAGACATGGACCTCTAGTTCAATGCAAACTATGTTTCCTAGAAATGTGGAAGCTCAGTCCAAGCATGGAGACAGATAAACTGGGGCATCCTATCCTCAGTCAACCTGATTAAAGTTATCTGAAATGGACTCCTAGGCCCATTGCAATTCCAATACAATACATTTTTGTATTTTATGGCAAAGGAGTAGATATCAGAATTTTTTAAAAATC